GATGGATAAAAATTTAAATGTAAGGCATGAAACCATAAAAACCTTAGAAAACATAGGCAATGACATATCAGACGTCTCACGTAGCAGAATTTTTGCTCTACATCTCCTAGGGCAAAGGAAATCAAGCAGTAAGTAAATGGGATCCCATAAAAATAAAAAGTTTCTGCAGAGCAAAAGAACCCACCATCAAAATGAAAAGGAAACCCACTGTAAGGGAGAAAACATTTGCCAATAATATATCTGATAAGGGGTTAATCTCCAAAATATATAAAGTACTCTTACAACTAAAAAAAAGGAAGACAATCCAATTAAAAATTGGGCAGAACACTTGAATAGACATTTCTCTGAAAAGGACTTATTAAAAAAGCCAAGAGACATATAAAAAAAATATTCAAAGTCACTAGTTATCAGAGGAATGCAAATTACAAACACAATAAGATATCACCTCACACCTGCTAGAATGGCTAAATGGCTATCATAAAAAAAATCAGCAAGTGCTTGCAAGGATGCAGAGGAAAAGAGAACACTAGTCCACTGCTGTTGGGAATGCAGACTGGTACAGCCACAATGGAAAATAGTATGGAGTTTCCTCAAAAAATTAAAAATGGAACTTCATTTGAACTAGCAACCCCACTTCTGGGAATATATCCTTAACTCCCCCAAAACACCAAGCAGAAAAAAATCTATGAACCCCTATGTTCATAGCAAAACAATTTACAATAGCTAAGATCTGGACACAGCCCAAGTGCCCATCAGTAGATGAGTAGATAAAAAAAGCTGTGGGACATTTACATAATGGAATAGTATGCAGTTATAAAAAAGATGGCTCTCTTACACTTTGAGAGAGCATGAACGGACTCATAGACAATGCTAAGTGAAATAAGCCAATCTGAGAAAGACAAATATCACTTATTTGTGGAATCTAATGAACAAAATGAATTGACCAACAAAATAAGACCTACAGCATGGAGGCATGGAACAGATTGACATACTTTGATGTGGGTTTGGAGGGACAAGAAAAGATAAATCAAAAAACTTCTATACTTACTAGTGGCCCAGTGCATGAAATTCATTGACGAGGGGAGGGGTGGAGTGGGGTGTCCCTCAGCCCAGACCACACTCTCTCCAATCTAGAACCCAAGAGATGTCTGACTGCCGACAGACATCCCTCTCACAATCCGGGACTGTTGGCTCCTAACCACTCGCCTGCCTGCCTACCTGCCTGATTGCCCCTAACTGCTTCTGCCTGCCAGCCTGATTGCCTAACTACTCCCCTGCCGGCCCAATTAATGCCTAACTGCTCCCCTGCTGGCCTGGTCACCCCTAACTTCCCTCTCCTGCTACAACCCACCTTCTCAGGACCAGCTTCCTCCACACTGTGCGGAGCCATGGGACCCCCAGGACTCACAGCACAGAGTGACCGCCTCCACCATACGCACTGCCATCTTGTGACATCACGTGAGAACCACCTAGGCTTTTATTAGTATAGATACGCATAGCCCATGCACACGGGCAATAAAGTGGTAAAACCTGGTGGGGGTGGGGGCTTAAAGCCTGGGAGGAGGGGAGTAAGATGGGGTAGGGGAATGGGATATATCTGTAATACTACCAACAGTAAAAAAAAAAAAAAAAAAAAAATTTAATGGAGTGCAATTTAAAACATGAATTATTTCTGGAAATTTCCATTTAATTTTTTTGACCAAAGGTAAAACCAGGTAAGAGGGGATCCCATTATACAAAAATTAACTGTCTTCATAGAGCTTACTTTCTTGTTCCTCACTTCACCTCTTCCCTAGTCTCTAATAGGAATCTCATGAGAACTAGTCCACAAATGGTTGATTTCCAAAGATGTGTTTTATTTTAAAGGGACTGAATGTTATATAGTGGCAAAACAGCTCCTTTAACTTTCTTCTTGCTATTCCCCAAGAAATAAAATCATTGCTGCTTTGTAAAAAACACTTTCAGTGGCATATATATAGTAATAGAAAGCCAGGTTTAAGATAATGTTCTATTCATACTATCCTAAGACAAAGCAAAACACAACACAAAAGGCACACTGTCATCTGAGCAAGTTTGCAAGTGACTGCTTTGATATGTAAAGTTCTTAGGATCTTCTAACCCAGCACCCTGTTTCTATAGATTAAAAGATCAGAAGCAGTAGCTAACTAGAAATGAATTTGACCCCTACCTTGATCCTTGCACCAAAATTAATTCATAAAGGATCAAATATTGAATCAAAAAATTTTTAAAAGAAAACAAAGACACATTTTTAAAATATTTGAATGGGGAAGGCCTCCCAAGGCCACTAAATAAATTTGCCTACATAAAAATAAATCTTTCCATGATAAAAGCATCTAAGACAAAGACAAATAACAAAGACAAAAATATTTACAATGCATGTCACAAAGGGTCATTTTCCTTAATTCCCACAAATGATCAATTAAAGACCAATGAGACAGAAAACCACAGGAAACACAAATGGCTCTTAAAACAATTATAAGCTAAATTCCTAATAGGAACCATTTTTAACGTGTCAGTAGCAAAGATTAAATTTGAGAACTATTACATTGCTGAGATGAGGAAATGGGTAAGCTATTATTCATTGTTGTGGAATATATATTAGTACAACTTCTGAGAGAAATTTTGGCAGGCTTCAATAAGGTAAAAGCAGAAGAGCAGTTTCTAGCATAAACCAAGTACAGATTTTAGCTGTCAGAATTAGAAAATTTTAAAATGTACGCACTTTAATCACTTCTCAGCTTTTTGGCTAAGATCAAATGTAAAATGTATGAACTTTTATTTTTATCGAGTTTAAAATATATTTTTATTGATTTCAGAGTGGAAGGAAGAGGGAGAGAAACATCCATGATGAGAGAGAATCACCAATCAGCTGCCTCCCAAGTCCCCCACTGAGGATGGAGCCCACAGCCCAAGCATGTGCTGTTGACCTGAATCAAACCCGAGACCCTTCAGTTTGGAGGCTGATGCTCTATCCACTGAGTCAAACCGGCCAGGGCAAAATGTACAAACTTTTAAGTATTTTTATAGGATTGTTTAAAATCACCTACAATGATATTCACAACATTAACCTTAAAACAAAAAACAAAACAAAAAAAACGCAAAAACCCAACTTTAGGGAACTGGTTAAACTATATCCAATGGGATACTATGCAAATAGCTATTTAAATGAATGTGAAAGAACAATCTCTACCATGATGAGAATAAGGTGCATAACATGTACAGTAAGCTTCGATTTATGGAATATTAAAATATAGACCTATTATGTTAAAGGGTGTATTATTGCATTAATGGGATTGCCCCCTGGGAAAATCATGTAGCTGGGAATCAAGGTCATAAACTATCCAACACATAGCCCTTTCACATTTTATACATTATCTATTCTATAAAAGGGAAAAAAGGGTCTTCATAATATACCTCCAAGTACACACTGGTCTGGGATAGAACCTCATTCATTACCATTTTCAGTACTTTCCAATATAACTATTCCTCTAAGTCACCTAGTCTTGGAAACTTACTGATCTAATCTTTAGAGGGATTTGAAATTTTGATCCATCCTTACAAAATACAAAACATGTATTTTGAAACCCTGAGTGTATTTTGGAGCACCTCTTGATCAAGTCATTCTTAACTTGGAAACATATTTTATATAGAGAACAGAAGGAAAGCAGGCCAAAAGCTCCTCAAAAAGTAACAACAAAAAAAGGTAACAAGGAACCTGGTAAGTCTGACTCATTAACCTATAGTTTAGAAATCATTTACTGTAGCTCAATTTTAAAACTCCTAAACATTTCTTCTATGTATTAGTGGTTTTTTTAAAAAAAATACTTTATAACATTCTCATTTAATCATTAAAACACTGAAGAAGGTATTAATCCCAAATTACAAATGGGAGAAGCAAACTCAGAGGTAAGTTCATGCAGCTAATATTTGGTAGAACTGGGGAACTGGGATCCAGACCTAGGGATGTCTCTAAAACATACAATATTAGCCATTTTTTAGTATTAAATCACCTGAGAAAAAATTTAAAATATAAAATCAGATTTCATTCTATCACCAAAATCCATATTTAAATCTGACCATTATGATTACTATTGGGCAATTATAAAGAGGTTTAGTTCTACTTGAGTCCATTTGCTCTGATCACTATACTAATGCCTTACTTCTAACTAAAACTTTAGTATTTTATAAAATACTTACCAAATAGTAATTCCACATATAGCATGACAACCAAAGCTCCCATGGTTGGATATGAATTTTGGCTTTGTTTGAAAACTTGATAGGAAGCCAAGATTGTCAGGCTTAATTATAAAATTAACATTATTTAGCCCACAGATGGTCAGCTTTCATTAATAACCTGATAACTATTCAAAATACCTAAATTTAAACATAAACTTCCTCAAATGTACATTTCTCAAACATCTTTCCCTCCTAGTGAAATTCAGTCAAATTTGTTATAAATCACAATATTCATTATCAATTGCTTTCTTAGGTTACCCAAAATTCTAAAGCTTAAGACCACACTAATTTTAAAAAGACTTAACTCAAAATTCACCCCAGTACTTTACCTTGAGTAGTTATCAGAAAATGTAAAACTTTTTACTAAAGATGTTTTAAAATTTGTTTTTAGGTATAGATTCACTGTATTAGTTCCTCTGCTTCATATTATTAATGTTGCCTTTAAGATAAACTGTTAAAAAAAATAACCCTGAGTTGTGGACAAATTAGCTAAGAAATGTAAAAAAAAAAAAAAAAAAAGACATTTTGTAAACTGCATACAATTTTAAAGTTCTTTAAATTCCAGATCTGATTTTTAAATCACACTTTGGGTGTATCTGACTTCCTTTAAACCAAACACTTTACTAACTCAGGTATGTGTAAAAACATTGAGGCAGAAATACAAAAAAGTTGACAGGGATCCAGACGCTAAGTATTTTTAAAGTGAAAGCTAATTTAGCATATTAAGACAAAGACAACAGAAATAATATACATAATTTTATTACAAAATTTTTTTAAAAAACAAAATGCAACAGTCTAGAAAACCCAAAATTTACTATTGATACTAATTGCTATGAGTTTGCTGTGCTACCATACACAAGAAATTAAAGAAACCATTAAATATTTAGAAACATTTAACATCAGAAGCCTTAAAATCTAACTGTATGTAGTAGCCCCTCAAAAAGCTACAACCTGCATTTTTTTATAAAAGTATTTTCTCTACAAAGAATCTTATCAGCTATACAAAAATCTGTACAGTTTTTATACTGAAGCTAATATTGAGCTGCACTTGAATTCACATTCTTAGCAAAACAATTGCCTGAGAGCACACACATACTCCGCACACATCATTACAGAAGAGCCTTTATTCTTCATCTTCATCCTCTTCGTCATCATCATCATCTTCCTCTTCCTCCTCCTCCTCATCTTCTGGTTCGTTCTTCTTCTTTGAGCCAGTTGGCCTGCCTGGGCCCTTCTTACCCACTTCACTTTTGCCCTTGGCACGGTATGCAGCAATATCCTGAAATATTGTCAAGGAAAGAAAATCAACATCCGGTGTCATTTCTCAACTGAAAACCACTACGTGTAAACAATCTAAGATTATTGACCAATAACCCTGGCAACTGTCTAAAAAATTATTTTTTACAGCATTTTTGTTCCCTCTAGGCTTTAGGAAGCTTATGATGTAAAACTATGGGGGAGGCATTAGATCAATGTCAATACTTTCATTAACATCCATTTACCTCACTTAGCTCCTCCCCCCTTCAACTTCACAATTTTTTATGTTTCTACATAAAGTGCATTTGGCCCTTCACTTTTTCAAACTAAGAGGCCTATATAACCACAAAGGAGTCTATGCAGGAACCTACCAGGGCCACAACACTGATTTCAGTCAAAAGAGATTTCTCAATTAGTTATTCCTGCCTAAGTTGTACAAAGCACAGCTGACAGCTACTAATACATGATTATCTACACTTCCCAACTTTCATACCACTTTCTATCTACTTCTAACATACTTTAGGAAATATCTACCTAATTTTAACCCTAGCTTTAAAAAATGTACCTTTTCATATTTCTCCTTTAGTTTAGCTGCTTTTTGTTCATATGGTTGCTTATCTTTGGCTGATTGTTCAGACCACATTTCACCCAATTTTTTTGCAGTATCCCCAATGGATAGACCAGGGTGTTCGCTTTTGATCTTTGGGCGATGTTCAGAGCAAAACAGGAAGAAGGCAGATCTGAAAGGAAGTAACAGAGAGTTAATAAACTGAAAAACCTAGAGACAATTTGAGCAATGTAAGAAATAAATAAATAAAAACACTTACGGAGGCCTTTTGGGAGCATTGGGATCTTTTTTCTTTCCTTTCTTGTCACCTTTGGGGGGAACATAATTTTTCATCTCCCGGTCGTAGCGAGCTTTGTCACTCTTTGCCAGATCTTCGAACTTTGACTTTTCCTTGGCAGACATGGTCTGTGAGCATGATGAGCGCGGTTAAAAAAACACAGCAAAACTGTAAGCTCTACACTTCCAAAAGCCCATCTAAACGGCCCCATTTCCCCTCAGCTGACAGCATTTTGCTTTAATATACTCTTACGCAAACACCTAAAGTCATCCGCCTAAAACTCTAAACAGAATATTCGAGCCAGTCGGCAGGCTAGTAGAGAGCTGCAAGTTACAAAGTCAATTGCCTGCTTAATGGCCTGGCCCCCCCAACACACCTGAAAACTCTCAGTCCGTACTCCCGACTCACCTTCCATCTCTCCGAGCACTTCTTGGAGAATTCCGAGAAGTTGACGGAAGAGTCGGGGTGTTTCTTCTTGTGCTCTTCCCGGCAGGTTTGCACGAAGAAGGCGTACGAGGACATCTTGCCCCGCGGCTTGTTGGGGTCTCCTTTACCCATGGTGACAGACGGCGTCCACCTAGCCGGGAGAAAGCCGGGGGGTGGGCGCCGGCGGGAGTCGGCTTCCCGCCCAAATCCGCGCCCGCCCGCCCGCGTCCCGCCTCGCGAGAGCGGCCGCCCGAGCCCGACCGCCGCGCGCCGGCCCACCCGCCCCGGGGCCGCGGCGACACCGCTTCCGCGTACACGACCCTGCGCGGCCCGGCCCAGGCCGTCCCAACCGAGTCTCCGCGCGACCGACCGGCTTCGTTCCCCCCGGAGGCCGGAGACGCCGACGACGACGACGACGACAACGACAACGCCCGTTCCCGGCCCGGGCGCAGGAAGGGAACGCAGCGGGCGCCCTCGAAACCCCTTTCCTGACAGAAATGTCCTCCGACTTCCACTTCGCGAGCCCCACTCAAAGTTGTCTCGCGGCCGACATTTTAAAACAAAACTCCCGGAACCGAGCGCGGACAAGCTTCCCGCCCGCCCGCCCAACACAGCCCCCCTGGCCCTCTCAGCGGCCCGCACCCCAGATTCCGCCGCCCCGGAGAGAAGCCCCAGGGCCACAGCGACCATGCCGGCTAGAAGGCTGAGGGAAGGGCACAGCGGGGAGCCCGCACCAACCCCCCCTCCCCCCCCGCGGCCCAGGGGCGCAGAGGGGGGTTCTTGCCTGGTGGTAGGTCTTCCTCAGAGTCCCGCCGAGCGGCCGGGTCCGAACGAGACGCTCCCTCGCTGCGCTCCGGCGTGAACTGGTGGATCGCTAAGCCAATCCTCAGCCTCTTGTTTTGCAGTTTCTCCGCGCCACCGCAACTTGACGAGCTGCGCCGCAGGCCACGCCCCGCCTCTGTGATTGGGCCTGGTTATTATTCAAACTCGCGGAAGCCCCGCCCCTCCCCGGCGGAGGTCTCCTATTGGCCGGGGCCTCGCCGGGCCCGCCCCCTCGTCCCCAGCCTAGCAGGTTCGGTGGGTCTCCCAGGTCGTTAACTCCCAGACCCGTTAGAACCGGTCGGGGGAGGAATGTACAGCTACGTCCTGATTGGCGGCGGGAAGAGGGTTTGAAAAATGGCGGGCCTGACGCTGACTGGCTAAGGGCCGTAAACTGGGGGTGGGGAGCGGTTGGCCCGAAAGGGAAAGCCCCGCCAGATTTAAAAATTCCTAGTCGCCGCCGGGCCTGAGGGTCGTTGTCGAAGGCCGGCGGCGGCGGCGGCGGCGGCGGCTGCTCGCGTTGCGGTCGCTGAGGTAACGCGCGGCCCGCCCTGCCCCTGCTCCCGCCGCTTCCCGGGTCTAGAGCGCCTCTGCCCGGTCGGGAGGATGACTGGGGGGAGACAGAGGCGCTGGCCCCGCGGACCGGGTGCCCAGCTCCGCCCCGGGTCGCTGAGGTCGGAGGGCAGCTCCTGGCGGGGTCCCGGGGCCAGGTTGCGGGGGTTAGGGGGGGGGGTGTGTGTCACAAACCGATCTGAAAAGTAAGGCGCTCTCCGCCCGCGCACTTTCTCTCGGAAGCTTCCTCCCTCCCTCCCTCCCTTCGCGCTTTGTCCCGGGCGTCCAAGGCCGGGAGACAAACAGGGCGCCTCAGGATTCCCCAGGGGCGGCGGCGGCTGCTCTCCCCACCCCGCGCTCCCGGGGTTCCGGGCAGTGGCCGCTGGGCCGGGGCGAGGCGGTCCCGGTGACCTCCGCACCTTGGGCTGGCCCAGCTGTCACCTTGTTATTCCCTCTCTCGTCCCTCGAAAGTGATAGTGGGTTTTTGTTTGTCTTTTAAGTTTTTAATATAAAAAAAAAAATCCATGTGAGAGTTCCATAAAAGCAGCATGGATGGCCGAAACTGGTTTGGCTCAGTGGATAGAGCGTTGGTCTGCGGACTGACTGAAAGGTCTCAGGTTCGATTCAGGCCAAGGGCATGTACCTTGGTTGCAGGCACATTCCCAGTAGGGGGGAGGGTGCAGGAGGCAGCTGATCAATGTTTCTAACTCTTCCTCTCTGTAAAAAAGTCAATAAAATATATATTTTTTTAAAAGCAGCACGGATGATGCTCACCACCCCAGTCGCACATACAAACCGCTCACAGCTGCCTTTGCAGACCTCCCCCAGTCCGGGTTCGCCTCCCGTTAGAGCCGGCGCACCAAAGCGACCTTAATGTGGCGTTTTCTAGTGTCCCAAGTTTGACAGGATGCTATTTCTGTATTTGTATTTCGTTTGGAAGGCTATTTTTTTTTTCATATTGGCCCATATGTTGCCCCGACAGTTGGTTTTGACAGATTCTGAATAGGCTTGTTTTCTTATCAGTAAGTTTGCTGGTATTTTGGGGCCTTGTGTGCTCCAGCTGCGTTGGTAATTAGTAATCAATAGGAACTCGGAACCAGCAACTGTGAATCTAGATTTACTAAAGAAAAATTAGGTTCTTTAAACTGTGTTTTCCCTGGAAACACGTATTAGTTGCAGAGTATGCATGTACTTAATGTTTCTGAATTTAGAAATAAACTTGAAAAATGTAATGCATTGGTGACCTGCTTATTGCTACTTAATGTAGTATGATTTAGTTGGTTTGAATTTTTGTTTTTATAGCACAATTGGAACTGACTTTATTGGAGAATTAAGTTCATTGCAGATGTAATTAATTAAGAGGAAGTCATACTGAATCTAATACAACTGGTGTCCTTATAAATAGGGAAAATTTTAGCACAGATACAGCCATAGAAGTAAGTGAAAAGACACAATGAAAAGGTGGCCATCTACAAGCTAAAGAGAAAGGCCTAGGATAGAGCCTTCCCTTACAACCTACAGGTGAAGCCAACCCAGCCAATTTACATTCATTCTTTACTCCATCACAGCGAAGAACAGGAAAACATTTCTATGTTTAATCTACTTTTACCGTCGATGCCAAGACTTCACTCTCATGCTGTACTTCCTGAACTAGAAATAACATCGAGATGCACAGTGAACTAAGGTTTAAGTGTGATATAGATGGTTGTTGGTTATAGAAAACCCTTTTTAAAAATAAAAATTATATACAGAATCTGGTAGAACAAAAAACAAAATCTAATCCCAAATGAAGTTCTAAAAAGATGTATTAAATACACAAGAAACCTCGTTCACTATTATGAATTACCTGGCATACTAATGACAGAGAACTGAAATTCCTATAAAGAGGTAATACTAACGGTGTTTCTCATTGTGTTTCGAATCTTGTTATAGTTCTAAATGGGAAAATAAGATTGTATTTCTAAAACTCAACTTTAGAACCATTTCTTTGCAGGAACACATCAATTTCATATATTCTAAAGTAATTTTCGAAGTTTATTTTTATTAAAATGATGCATCTTTCTAAAGATGATAAAGAGGGAAGTGATTGCTCTTCATTTTTTAAAAAAGTAAAAATCAAAATCTAGCAAGGTCCCTAATGGGTTTGGCTCACTGGATAGAGCGTCGGCCTTCGGACTGAAAGGTCCCAGATTTGATTCCAGTCAAGGGCATGCACCTTGGTTATGGGCACATCCCCAGTAGGAGGTGTGCAGGAGGCAATTTATTGATGTCTCTCTCTCATCGATGTTTCTAGCTCTCTATCCTTGTAAAAAATCAATAAAATATTTTTTTTTAAATGTAGCAAAGGCTTGCTTATGATTTTGAATAGTTTACTTAATATTTCTAGGCTTTTGATTGAGAAATTATAAAATGAGATTTTGGGGAATCTAGTACCATTCAATTTTTAAATTTATGATTCTATAATTCTTTGGATATGTAATCATAATGTGGGGAAATACATATTTTAACTTTTGTAATAATTAGGTGGTCAAGAGATTATAATTAAAATTTTAAAAGATAACTTGGGTTGTAGGAAATTATTTGGTTATGAACACAAATTAGTTGTGAACCTCGCTACTTCACAACAGTATTTGACTACATAAAAGTTTATAGCTATCCAGTGTAATGAACTATATAGGCCAAACTTTATATATACAATATTGCTCTGTTACCTTAGTCTTCTAATAAAATAATCTTACCAGAGTTTTCCCTTTCCTAAATGATATCAATATAGCACTTTATTTGCCAAACTTTGCCAGAGTTCAGTATCTCACAAATTATAACATAAGTATTTAGCAATAAAATAATTATGAATTAGGCTTGAAACTATTTCCAAAGTAGGTCCCCTATCCTATAAGTGTAAGTAGCAATTCTGTAAACTGGAATTTATCCATAGCAGTGTCAATCTGGCAGGATTGTGTAGAAATAAATGATCTGAGTTTTGCTAGTTATTGAAATTCCTATCACTTATTCAGTTACCTTAAAAATTTGAACTTCTCATCCTAAGAGTCCCAGATTGGGGGGGAGGGGGGTGAGATTAGGCTATCAGTTGAGGGCAATTAGGGGTGATCAGGCAGGGAAGGGCAGCAGGGGTAAGCATTTTGGAGTGAGATCAGGCCAGCAGGAGAGAGCAGTTGGGGACAATCGGGCCGGCAGGGGAGCAGTTTGGTGTTAATCAGACCAGCAGGGGAAAGGTTAGGGGGTCATCATGCTGGCAGGCAGAAGCAGTTAGGGGCAATCAGGCAGACAAGCAGTTAGGAGCCAGCAGTCTCGTATTGTGAGAGGGATGTCCAACTGCCTGTTTAGTCCCAATCCCAACCAACAGTCTGACATTTCCCGAGGGGTCCCAGATTGTAGAAGGTACAGGCTGGGCTAAGGGACACCACACTCCTCCCCTGCAGTGTACAAATTTCATGCACTGGGCTCCTAGTCTGATAATAAAACCAAATAGCAAAATCCTGAGTGAAAGAGAATACTATATATATATATATATATATATATATATATATATATATATGTATATGTATATGTATATGTATATGTATATGTATATATATATGTACACTAGAGGCCCAGTGCATGAAATTCATGCATGGGAGGAGGGGAGTGTGTCCCTCAGCTCAGCTTGCACCCTCTCAAATCTGGGACCACTCAAGGAATGTCCAACTGCCCATGTTGGCCCGATCCCACCTCGGACATCTCTCTCACGATCCAGGACTGCTGGCTCCCAACCACTCGCTTCCTTGCCTGCCTGATTGCCCCTAACTGCTTCTGCCTGCCAGCCTGATTACCCCTAACCACTCCCCTACCAGCTTGATTGATGCCTAACTGCTCTCTCCTGCTGGCCTGGTCACCCCTAAATGTCCTCCCCTGCAGGCCTGGTTGCATTGCTTTGCTGCATTGCTTTGCTGGCCTGGTCACCTCTAACTGCCCTCCCTTGCAGGCCTGGTCCCTCCCAACTGCTCTCCCCTGCTGGGCTGATCACCCACAACTTACCTCCCTGCCAGCCATATTATGGCCATCTTTTGTCCACATGGGGGCAGCCATCTTTGTGTGTTGGAGTGATGGTAAATTTGCATATTACTCTTTTATTAGATAGGATTTGATAATCCCATCACCACCATAGAACAGTAAATAAATTCTCAATAATTATTAACTCATATAGTTAGCCAAAATGTAGTATACTCTACCTAAGATTAGTCGCATATAAATATTGTTCTCTCAAGTTGCATAGTTAATGTAAAAAACTGAAACCATTATTCTGCACATATAATAGCTTCTCAAAGATGAATCTTAATATTTTCAAGTTGTTTCAAAGACAGTGAGAAGAGTAGGATAAGCACTCTGAAGAATTATCAAACAGGCACATCCACTTAGGGGGAGATCTCTGGTCTTTAGGGCTAACTGCATATTCACTTTAGAGTTTCAGCTTGGTGATATAGTTAAAAAACATATTTTTGAATAAATGAAATGAAAATTCCAAGTTAAGAAAAAGTAAAAACCTCATTCCACTGGTAGCATTTTCA